CCCCCCCCCCCCCCCCCCCCCCCCCCCCCCTCTGCTGGTGCCACATCCGAGAGCACCGCGAAAGCCTACTCTGTCTCTTCCTTCAGCTCATAAATAGTTCGACATCAGCTCCCGCTCTCTCCATCGGATTGCGTATCTTGCCACTTCGTTGACTCAGGAACCTTCTTTTGTGGGGAAGTTAAAAATCCCCCCCACGATCACCTCACCCTCTCTCCCACAGAGCACCTCTCCCTCTGCCTCTCCCTCTCCCTCTCCCTCAAATCACGTCGCCCTCTTTTTCCCCCACAGTTGGACAGATGTGCCATTCCCTGTCTCCGTCAGCAACCTGCACGACCGAGATGCAAACATTGTCCAGCGGCGACTCGGGAACCCTCTTTTGTTGGGAAGTCAAAACTCCTCCGCACACGATCACCTCACCCTCTCTCCCATATAGCACCTCTCCCTCTCCCTCAAATCACGTCACCCTCTCTTGTGCCCCCGACAGTTGGACAGATTTGCCACCCCCTCTCTCCGTCAACAACCTGCACGACCTATCCGTCTCTCTCTCTCTCTCCTGAAAAGGACTACCAATCCACCAGAACCTCCTCACAATTGCCCTCTTCCACTGAGGGCTCTGCTCTGGTTACGCTTGTCAGAAGATTAAACAGCCCGTGGTTCCAGTACCTGAACACACCTCGCCCTCACTCCTCCCGCAACCAGTACCCAAAATCACCTCCCTCCTCTTTTCACCACCTCCCTCTCAACCCTTCATCAACAAGTGACCGATCGCCTTAAACTTTTCATGTTCGACTTTTTCGTCGTTTCTCCTGCCCTCCGGCCGCCCTGGTTGAAGGAATTATAAGCTTATGCATGTGGTCGGGACCAGGGACTCTGGGACTCTGGGAGTGCACTCACCTCTCTCCCTCCTCGAGTTCCGACCTCGGAGGCAATCGACCCGTCGAAACATCCTCCCTCCCTACTCCTTTCTCTTCTCCATTTCTGCACTGATCCGGTGCTATTGATAAGTTCACTGTATTTCGGGATCTTGTCCCCTCACTCTCAACAGAGTCAACAGTACAAGATCGCCCTCCCTTCACATCTACCTCCCTCTTGCTCGCCGTCGTACGCGTGAATGCTTTTCTGACAGATACCGGATGGGATCGCCCCTACAGAATCTCAACTTGTGAGTAAATACAATGTACCGCAGGACACCGTACATCATCAAAATTTCCGGATCAGTTGGGCCTGTATCGTCTGCCGTTGTTATCCCAGAACAGAAGAACAAGATCTCGCTTTTCTCTTCCCTCAGGAAAAGAAAATCGGATTCTCTCTCAGAGTTCCTTTCCCTTCTGAACCAAGCACAGCAGACAAGCCTCCGCAACTCCTTTTCCCCAATTTCCCCCCTCTGCTCGTTCCCTCACTGATTCTTTTCCAAAACCAGAATCACACCGCGAGCGATCGATCGAACTGCCAACGCCCACCGTACACAACGAATCTCATCCCCCCC